TAACTGTGATTGGTCAAGATACTCACAGCACACATTAAATAACACTGTGATTGGTTAGAAGGCTATATTGCGTATTGGCAAGGCCAGTACCATAATCATAACTAATAAACAATATATTGTGCAGCCATATCTAATTACAAGAACATTCATTCGCAAAAATGTGGCAGTAAAGCTGCCATATTTCAGGACCTCCAGGAACTTGGCAGGATAACTGCTTGTTATATACTTGGCTGGGTCACTTCTGCAGATATGAATAGTGAAATGTGAGGAGCGTCCACTGCTCTTTACTGACACAGGCCTCATTTACAGGCCTGATGCAGTACTTTGTTCCCTGGTCAGATTTACAAAACCTCTCCAAAGGCAGTGTTGAACACTTTTTACCAGGAAATAAAGGTGTCAGTAACCCTAAATTACTTCGAAAGGAAATACTGATAACAATCTGAAGCAACATTGACTGAGATCTCGGCTAAAGGCCTTAGACAAGCACAGCAGCGGCAGGAATGCTGAAGCCCATTCTGGAGCTTCCACCAGCTTACAGTATTTCACACCTCTATACTGACCCCTCTCTCAGTCATCCTCCCTCCCATAAGCGTGGCTGAGGGCATCAGCAGTGTTTGTGCTTCTCTAAAATCATTTACTGCTTCTCTGAGGACAGTGTAACCAGTCAGTGAGTGGGAATGCTAATAGTGAATACAGTGCAGGAACAGAAAACACAAAATTCAACATGTCACAGAAGCTCCTAAGTTGAAAGAGTAAAGAAAAACTGTGGTACCTTTGAAACATTTTGTACTATATTAAGTGGTCCAAATAGAAGCGACTTCAGATGACGTGTTCCATGTTACATAAAGCAAAGCTGACCAACACTGCAGGGGCCTAAATGACTACATGCAGAGTGGGTGGTTAATAGGCACATATTCAAGCCTGCAGAGAGCACAAAACAATAGCAGTAATGGAGACTGAGCGTTTGCCTGTGCACAGTGAAAAGAAGCAAAAAGAAAGACAGGACTGCTGCCACAACAGGTGTTCAAAACAAGTAAGCGTAGCATAAATAGAAACATTTAATTATGATTTTTGACCTGATTTTAGAATAATAGCCAATAATTACTAACCTGGTGGGAAATAAAAACTGATAAGTTTGTGTTAGCACTTGTCCAGTCACTACTGGGCATTTTTGTTCTTTTTAAACTCACTGAAATTGAGCATATTGAATAAAACCACAACCCCAAACACAAAAAATTAGATGTTCGATTCTCCATGCAGACAGGAATTTCACTGCTATAACAATGGGCAGCACTCCTAATGTAACTGTCAAGTTGGTAACTGTAAGTTGCTCTCAGTAAGAGCATCTGTTAAATACGTAGCCTCAATATTTGCATTAGTTGTCATGCATGATGAAATTTTAGCTGATGATTAACTGCCATGTAAATAACAATGCAATTGTCTTTATTTGTTCACTGTATGCAACTGTTAAAGTACAAAGCTTAAGTGACCAGATTGGCTGATTAGACTGGATTGGATGATTTCAATTCCTAGCTGTTGATACTTGGTATATTCAAACTGTAGACAATAACTGCTGTCAGTCCTAATAACTGTGTTTAGGCAATTATATTATAACTGTGACAGGCCTACTTTGGCTATGTAAAATACACTGACTAGCCATAGCATTAAAATCACCTCCTTGCTTCTGCATTCAATGTCCATTTTATCAGCTCCATTTACCATATAAAGTCTTACAATTACAGATTGCAGTCCATCTGTTTCTTCGCATACTTTGTTAGCCTCCTTTTATGCTGTTCTACAATGGTCAGGACCCCCCAGGACCACCACAGACCAGGTATGATTTGGGTGATGGATCATTCTTAGCACTGCAGTGACAATGATGTGGTGGTGTGTTAATGTGTTGCACTGGTACAAGTAGATCAGACACAGCAGTCCACTCAGTGTCCAAGACTCTAAGACACTCCTACCTTGTTGGTCCATCTTCTAGATGTAAAGTCAGAGACAGTAGCTCTTCTGTTGCAGCACAATTTGCATTAGCCATCCTCCAGTTCTTCATCAGTGGTCACAGGATGCTTTTGGGTGTATTTTTTTGGTTGGTAGACTAACACATTAACACACCAGAACCACATCAGTATCACTGCAGTGCTGAGGATGATCCACCACCCAAATAATACCTGCTCTGTGGTGGTCTTGACCATTGAAGAACAGGTATCTGTTACAAGCATCAAATAAAACGCATATGATGTCTTTTACAAGCTTTAAGTGACCACATTTAATCTAAAACCAAAAGCCAAAAAATGTTCATGTGAATCACTGTTAGATTAACATACACTGTTAGCTAACATACTACTAGAATCCCACAGGGGTGCCAGCAGAAATTAGCACCATCACAGAGGTGCTTTTCCCTTGTTTTTGACATTTATCGCCAAAACCGAAGACGAAGCACTAATGGTCAGGCTTTACCAATGGTTATTGTTATTGGCTCAGAAATTCCAAATCAGTGCATCTCTAGTTTAAAACATATCTGAGAGAGGTATGATGTAGTGCTGATATAGAACAGAAACCTAGACTTTGCATTCAGATCTGTCAGCCTTACAAGTATACAATTTCAAACAAGACATGGCTAATATCAATAGTATGGATATATGTTTCAAAGCCTATAATTATGAGGCAAGGGTAAAATATTATGACACTGCATGCTCAGCAGCATTGAGACTACAATGTCTGCTTTAAGTACAAACAAACCGAGCTGCACATGTTTCCAATAAGCCGAGACAATGGCTCTAAGGCATGGATGTAAACATGTGACTCTCGATAACAGATTACTGTGTTGTCATTGAGCAGATTTATGCAAATAGCTAACAAAGAGATAATGCTTTGCCTAAAACAGAGCATAGCATTTCATCACAAGCCAGATGAGTGGGTAGTGATGTCCAGGCAGTTATGTCACACCTAAACAAAGCAAAAGCATCTTTATGAAGGAAGAGTCTATGCCTGTGTATGCCTATACATATGTCAGGTAACAGCCAAACCAGAAATCAATATCAACATCCAATAAATAGATTGCAGTTAATGAAATCTCATTTAGACTCACTACAATAATGTTTAAAAACAGACCTAAAGTCAACACTTACACAATGGTAAGTAATAACATCTATCCATGTGGTTTAGGGCCCGACTAATATATCGGCTGCTTTTGGTGACCCGTGGTTTTATTGGTATCTGCGATGATATTGGCCATAATGCACCAATAATAAGCAGCTTTTTTGCTGCAGTATAAACAGAATTTGAACTCATGATCTCCTGAAGGGCAAAACCTTGGTTGGTTGAGCAACTGGAAAATCCAGTATGTGCTGGATTTGTTTAAATATATCACAGCGATGTAGACTGAGAATAACATGCTATAACACAAACTATATTATTATGAAGACAATTAGTTCAAAAAATACTATACAAAAATGATAATATTAAATATAAAATATAAACATAATATTACATCAGCCAAAACTATCATTTTTAGCCCCTTAAAATCGGTATCGATAATAATATCAGCAACAAATTTTCAATCCGTTCAGGCACTAATATGGATTAATAGAACACTGTGACCAGCCTCACAAACAAAAAAGAGTGAACAGAAAGAAAATCATCACCATTCTTTATATATATATATATATGTATATATATATATATATATATATATATATATATATATATATATATATGTATATATATATGTGTGTGTGTGTGTGTGTGTGTGTGTGTGCATGTATATATAAATGGTTTATTTAGTGTTAACGCTTAACCGTTATACATTATGTTAATGTTTAGTTAAAAATATAAACAAGTTCTTTTAATATTCTCAAACTGTGCAATATAAATGTAGCATTATTTGTCATTAAGGCACTGAACTGAACTGAACTGCTTTCAAACTGGCCTACTTCCTCTACTTCACATCTGTGTTGGGAAATGGGAAAAGCATCACCCTTTGCAGTGACCAGAAGAACAGAAGAACCCCCTTGCTGAGAGAGAGAGAGAGAGAGAGAGAGAGAGAGAGAGAGAGAGAGAGAGATACTTTGGGCATGCAGACACAAAGGAATGCCTGAGCACTCTCACTGAATGGGTTTTAAAGGCATAACAGACACCAGCCGATCACCGGATCACAACATTCAGGGTAATGAAAGCATCTGAAATCTATGCCCAGTTAAAGCGGCTCTACCGTTGTGCCACCACACTATGAACAAATGTGAACAAAATGCAGGATGTACACAGCAGACTGGACCACTTTGCTCGCTGGTGTTATTCTGGGACCCTCAGCTGTATGGCTACATATGAGTTTGATGCACAGATGAATAGCTACAATGACTAAACGCCTAATGCACGCTAGTGTATATGGCGCATAAATGTAATTGTGAAAACAAAAACTGTTCTGTCACAGGCTGGTCAGTGCAGAGTCTACAATCTATAGGCTACATCACTAAAGAAAGCCAAAATGGGTCTAGAGAAGCCAATGGGAACGCAATGTAGTGGCAGCACAGCAGCTGGATAAAAACAGACCAAACACATTGAGATCGAGCAGCTAGCCTAATGCTCACTACACCACTCTTTTACTCCAGCTCAGCTTTCTTTTTCTTTAAGGCATCGAAATCAAAGATTTAATTTCACACGAAGCTGGAGTCAGCTTCTTAATCGCCAGCGTCTTGTACGAATTTTCCCGTTCCACCTTAAATGGTGCAGCAGTTACATTCTGGCGCCCGAGGCGCCAGAATGTAACTGCTGAACCATTTAAGGTGGAACGGGAAAATTCGAACAAGAAGCTGGCGAATAGGAAGCCAACTTCAGCCTCGTCAATTACACTGCATTACAGACAACATCCGTGATCTCCTATATTGTGTATAGCACAGAATGACAGACAGATAGAAGCAAAAAACAGCACCAGCCTGAAAGCTGAAAGCCATTAGGATGCCCAGAGCTGGAGACTGTCGAGGAAAAGGTTATTTTACCGTGTATAAATGACACACCTCAGCTCGTCCCCTGCAGTACAGTCCGCCTTGTTCATTATTTCATCGCTGATGGGGGAAAAGGGGGCTAAAATCCGTGGCGACTGGCTGATAGTCCCCAACGGGCAAGACACACAGCAGCACGTCAGTACGAAGGGGCTTTTTTCCCTACCCGTATTCCGACAAGCCACTCCTTCTGCTCCAGGATTGGCTGGCGGGATCTTGCGTCCTGCGCCCCGATTGGCTGCTACGTCATCTCACATACAGTCTGCAGCTCGAGGTTTGTCGAAAACGGGTGGGTTTGAACACAGTTGTGGTTTTGCCAGTTAAGTTTGATTCATTTCTTTTTTTTCCCCTTTTTTTCTTTGCTTGAATGACACAGAGAGGCAAATTACAACCTTCCTCTTTTGTATATTGAGCTTTCTGCAGGGGGTGTAAAAGGGGAATTCCACCGATTTTACAAATTTTGCGCATAGTTGAGTCGTTGAGACGTAAACCAAGTCATCCAGAGTGGTTTAATATAACATGCTGCATTGAAACTTGAATGACTCTGATTTCTTTACAACAGTGGTGGTAGGAACTACATGTCTGCAACACAATTATTGCCATTTTATTTACTATCAAAAACCTTGCAATAGTGTAAACCTACATATGTCTTGTGAGTTTTGCTGATAATGGGAAATAGTGGTCATTCAGGGAGAAAACAAAATTGGGGTTACTATTTTGCCATACAGCACCCTGCATGTATCTCTCCGCCATGAAGTGGTTAAAAAGTCTATATTTTTGCCTAAAAGATTTTGTCAAAACTATCTCAAACCAGTGTGTCAGACTTCAGGCAGAATATTTGTAACTATTTTATGTAATACATTTCTGTAAGGGAACTTTTAGAGGCATTAAACTCTTCAGACGTCTGGTTCCTGTCACCACCACTGTGAAACACTCTGAGCTGGTAAGTTTCTCTGGAACTGGGCACATCAAAACACTCTGGATTACATGCAGAAAATTTGAAAAATCAACAAAAATTCCCTTTAAGTACTTGTATACCTTTGCTGAAATGGAGTATATATTTCCAAATATGTATTTATATACGTATATATTTCCAAGATTCCAACATACTTTTTACTAGTTAAATTTTCATCTACACTTTTGAAGAACTCATTACAAGTCTCAGAAGTCCTTTGATTTGTATCTTTTTTAAATTTATGATTTCCTTTGTATTGTAATCTTACTGAAAAATAATTGTGGCTGCATACTTCCACATTTAATCGAGCAAGATGTTGACACAGTACCCAAAGTTTTACTTAAACACGATACTTTTTTCTCCTCTATCTTTATTTATGTGTGAAATGGAAGTTACCAGATCAAATTACAAGGAATACAAACAGGCAAAATGAGACACAAATGTAAACCATTGAAAGCCTATACTTTACCACAATTGTACACTATATTTTAGTACACAATTTCTATTTGTGCACTGTTTAACATAAAAAATAAAGCAGAAAATCTAAAATGTGCACAAACCTTTGCACAGGCCATATTTTATGTTTTATTATTCTTTTCAACATGTTAAAATCAACTAATAAAATATTTATTTTCAATGAGAAAAATAGGCAAAATGTATTTTCTACAAGAGTTTTGTAGAAAGTCTGAAACTGTTTGTACTATAACACTATTTTCACATGGCATTATAAAATGAGAGCATACAATACAGGTGCAGGTAGCAGATAAAATTTTCATCAAATTTTGAACCAAAAGTACATTGCTTAATTCTATTTTCAAAACACAGTGGTGCAACTGATGTGTTTACTCCACAGTTATGGATGCAATCCTGCCCTCTACTGGAAATCAATGAACTACACCTTTAATATACATTTTTTTGCTTTTTGGTGTTTTTGATCTGTTCATTTTCACTGCACAGCCAGCTTAACATGGGCACTTGTGTAAATTAGCTCATTCCATTTATAGAGTCAGCATGTTTATGGACAGTTTAGTTGTGTCGGTGCTATTATGATCCACAGTATGTTCAGTTCAATTCAACTTTAAAGTCACTCACTGCCTAAGGACAGGAATCAGATTTTAAGTAGTGCAGACATGACAGACTAGAGTCAGGCTTTACTTTCACAGGGAGCAGATGTTAACAGACTGAAACTGTATATTAAGTAGTGCTAAAACTGTGTCTGCCAATGAAACGGTGCATCATAGATAGTCCCATTACTGCCCATAAAGAAGCTCACAATTTTTTTTTACAGTTATTCTGCCCGTAATATGGCACTGTCACCATTAACCCTCATCCAGCTGACAGAAGCACTTCAGTTCCCCAGCACATCATTCATTTGCACTATAGTGAGTTAATGAGGCATGCCTTGCTGTCATTCAGTATAAGATGTTTGCACAGTTTGAATATATTACACTTTATGTGTAATGGTTTAGAATTTGATTTGTGCTGCTCTTCACTTTTTTCTACAGTGAGCAGTATAGAATGAGACTAATGTATAGCAGAAGCAGGGTTCGTGTTAATCGTCTGCAAGGATATAAAATATTTGGTGGTTTTATTTGAAGGGACAAGAGTATTAGAGCGTTGTGAGGGGTAACAGAGTAGAGTATTTTAATAATGGAGGTAATACATTTGTATGAAAATTTTGGACACCCTTGGTCAAATAATGTTTTGTTGATTTTCTCAGTGTTTTTATGACTTTTTTCAGAATTTCACATAAGACATAAAATCTGCCCTGTGCCCCAAAAGTTATAGCCCATTTATATTTTATGTTTTATTTTTTTCCAGTATGTAAAACTAAGACCAAACATGCCTCAGCCAATCAGCTTATTTTGAAGTAAGAGGAAAATTGACGGCTGAAGATATAAAATAGAACAAATGAACAGTGAAAATGGGACCCCAAGGTAATAACATTGTAATTCGACAATCATTTTTCTTTTTCATTTACATTTTTACACCATTTGAAAATCCCAGCTGCCTTTTACATTCTGTGAATTGATTTCAGAATCTCCACATCCTAAATGAATATTAAGGATGAATCACCACTTAAAGGAGGGGTTAGGATGGCAGAAGCCATCATAGGCAACAAACTACCAGCCTAACAGGACATCTACCAGTCCCGCTGCCTCAGGAGATTCAAAAAGATCCGGTCAGATAGCGGTCACCCAGCACACAACCTGTTCACCGTCCTGCCATCAGGCGGGAGATTTCGCAGCATACAGGCTAGAACAACCCGGTTAATGAACAGTTTCTACCCACAGGCTGTCAGGCTTCTGAACAAGCTGTGAAGCTGTGGGTCCTTCCCCTACTACCTTTTCACTCAGTCACTTTGTCAGCATTATTATTATATCATATCTCTGCTATGGACAATAACACTTTAACACTAAGTCACTTTAAATAATAATAATACTAAGTCACTTAAGTCACTTTAAAATGTATATTGTCTCTATTTTGTGTATATCTTGTGTATATTTTGTGTATATTTAATATATTTCAGTTTCAGTTCAGTTTAGTTCAGTTTCTTGTATTTTTATTTTTTTTACTGATTTACTTTCTGTAGAGTGATTAGCTGAGCCTCACCACAAGCATTTCAATGCATAAATGTCCTGACATGTTGTACAAATGACAAATAAACTTGAAACTTGAAACATACATTCTCAACTCTTCTCTAACTCCTCCAACAGTTCACTAACTCTGTCTTCACCTCAACACTAACATTCTCCCTGCGTTCTACCACTCAGTGCCTAATACTAGGCTCTGACACTGCAAAGCTGCTTTTCAGCAATCTCCATTGTTAAAAAAAGTCGGTTTAATTGAACATTTTTGATCAAAGAATTAACTGAAATGATCCCAAATTACAAAAGCTCTTTTTTTCAACTAATATTAGAAGTTAAGGAAATTTCCGCCTTGTCCTGAAAAGTGTCCATGTTTGAGACACAAGGTTTTCTTCCAGCAGAGAAAATATGTTGGTTGAATGAGAGTAAAAGGGTTATTATTAAAGGGGAAACCCACTGACTTTTCAAAACGTCTGCATAAATCAATGGTTAAGATGTAAATATGGTCAGTCAGAGTGATTTGATGTAAAAAAAAAGAATGTGTAGTTCTAGAGAAACATACTGAAAAATTATTGTTCACAGTGGTGCTGATAGGAACCAGACGTCTGAAGCATATAATGCCTCTAAAAGCTCCCACACCGAAAGTTATTACACAAAAAAATTGTTGTGAATGCATTGCCTGATGGCCGAGACACAATTGTAACCTAAAATGTCATTTTTATGTTTTGGCCTAAAATGTATTTTTAAAAGCTCTGCACACATAGGATGTTGTGAGACAAAATAGTCCCCAAAGAAAACTTTTTTTCAGATTTAGGACTATTTTACCATCATCAACATTACATATGAAAACTCAGAAGACATGTGTAGGTTCACTGGTCATTTTGGACAGTAAATAAACTGGTTATATTTGTGTTATAGACATTGTGACCCCTGGTTCCTATCACCACCACTGTAAAGAGGTTTCTGTGTTTCTCTACAATTAACCACTTCACATCAAATCACTCTGAATGACTCTGTTAAAATTACAGTCATTGAATTATGAAGGAATTTTGAAGAACTGGTGGAATTCCCATTTGTATGGAGTCCTGCTGGTGACATCCCATATAAATAAAAATAATGTGTGGCCACACCTTATTAACATGTGCCAAGATCCTAATGCAAGGCAACAACTTAGTAAGGCATGGGAATAAGATAATTAAGTTGTGGCAATGACTTAGTAAGGCGTGGGAAGGAGATCATGCCTTACTAAGTTATGGCCAAGCATTAGGATCTCATTCCCATGCCGTACTAAGTTTTGGCAGTGCATTAGGATTTCATTCCCATGCCTTACTAAGTTGTGGCCACAAGTTAATTATCTTGTTCCCATGCTTTACTAAGTCATGACCATGCATTATTTTTATTTTTACGAGATGTGACCAGCAGGGCTCTGTACATTTAAGAGGGTTTACTTCAAACAATTCTACATGTTAGTTCTAGTAGTTAATTAACACAGAACTTTGAAATTCTTATCTATTTATTTCTAGTGTTTTTGCACTTACACTAGGTGACCACAAGGGGGAAGCAAAATCAAAGCAAAGATTATTACTCTTCCTGAAGTTCCATAGAGAAGC